GGGAAGACTGCTCAACGGCATCCATAAGTACTTATCACACCATGCAACACAGCATAATAATCTTACAGGTAGAGACTCAAATCGTTACATCCCGTTCTCTCAGAATCGAGGTAAGTGGATTGGAATCTAAAAAGCCAAAAAAACCACTAATCCAAATTTCTAATTTTTGTGATTTTCCTTTGGTATATCGCTAACACTAATCAGAATCTATAGCCCTTCCGATTGTTATAACTAAACACTAATCCAAGACTATAAATATGATAATATTCCCTAAGCTAGTCATTCCAGTTTTATATTACACTAATCCAAAACTTCAGTTATTCTAATATTCCTTGGCTATAACTATTCCAACTACTGTCGTGTACAACGTAATTATAATAACTGACCATAGCACACACAGATTAATGCATTCCCTGTCTTGTTTATGGCTGACCTTAAAGGTAAAAATAATTATAATACCAAGTGCATCATGAACATATTATGGGTTCACATAAATCAACTAAATCAAAAGTCGTGGCATCCAAAATAAAAAATAAAGGGAGAAAAAAGGAAAAAGAAGTTTTCTTAACGCCTAGATCTACACCAACCAAGATTTCTTCGCTCTACGACGTTGGAGTACGGTACTGTTTTGACATAACGTTGTTTGACAAATCAAATTTGGTTTATCGTAGCACACTTGCATAAAAATAAAAACAAAATTACAAATTAGCTTAATACCATCAGACATAGGACTACAGCCAGTAGTAGTAGTTAAAATTTTAATTATTTTTTCTCACTGTCGCTGCTGTTATAAAGGGTAGCCTTCTAGACTTCTTAGAATCTCAGGTCCTCAAAGAATACCGTGATGTCTGTAAAGTTGAACCACACGTCCTGTTTATTTATGATTTCATTTCATGGAAATATCTCTGTGCCGTTCTCGAATTTAAGAAGCAAAAAACAGAACAAAACAAAAACAATCATTTTACAGGCTATAAAAAAAATTAATAATAATCCATGTCATAATTGGAATTCCCGATTGTTGACGACAGTTCTATTTTTATCAGCGAAATCCATGAGTGATGTTTTAGGTGAAGCGCCCTCTCATAATATAATCAGCTGGGCTACTGCCCTAGATGGAAGTCCATAGCGAGTGTGTGCCTATAGCTAGGACCTTATAACCTCCTTGGCCCATATATTTTAGTGTATTACTGTTACGTAAAATTGCTTTCATTCTGACGAGCTGTCCTTCGAAACGGGAAGTGTTCTCAGTGGATTTCGGGTATGTAGATTTAGTGTAATGATAAGAGTCCAGTCCGTTTTTTTGTTTGTCTGATTTTATAATGCGTTTTATCTACCGAGCAATCAAAATACTCTGCATCAATGACAATACATGCAAGAGATATTGCATTGATAACACCCAGCATATTTAATCTTGGTTATAACCAACATTTTTACACAATATTCAATATTTTTAAAACAACATCAAAACAAACAAATCCTTTGACGATGTGCGCGGATTAATGTGGAAGAATCTACTGTTATCATAAACAACACTTTGAAGTAGCTTAATCTTATTTGCAAGAGTGGTGCACGTTGCAAATAAAAGCTAGCTATCAGTAAAAGGTCAGGCAAAGATCTAATAATGTATGTTTGTGAAAATAAAAACCGTGGAAAGCGCTCTTTGATAAATTTTTAGTTAAAATAAACCCCACCAATATCAAATAAATAGGCTTGAACAACCTCATATATT